GAAATAAGGTTTACATTAGACTCGGTACGGACTTTAGCAGATAGCTACGGGGCACGTGGGACTACCGTCACACGTGCCCCGTAGCTATTCCACGTGCCCCGTAATTATTGCAATTAGGAAAAAAGAATTTCAAATTTAATTGAAGAAAATAATTATTCAGTCATCTAGAGAAAATATGATTGTTCAATCATACGGTTACCTACGAATAAAGTAGGCAAAGAACTACTGAGTAAAGTGAATAAATGAGCGATAATTCTGAAGACCTAGAATTGCATCAGGAAAACCCTAACAAGCAAACTTTCCTGTGTCGCTAAGAAATCTGCAAATTTCTATGCAGCGCTCCTGTTCCTGTGGCTCAGAGAAGAAGGCCAGAAAGAAACGACATTTTCAGAATTAAGAGTAATGCTTCATTTTCTGAATATAGTACTTAAATGTTTCTCCCTATGGCTTGTGAAGCTTCGGCAAGTTAGCAAAAAAATGATGTTTTTTGCTTTTTGACAATTAGATTGATTGATTTGTGGGGTTTAACGTCCCAAAACCACCATATGATTATGAAAGACGCCGTAGTGGAGGGCTCCGGAAATTTTGACCACCTGGGGTTCTTTAACGTGCACCCAAATCTGAGCACACGGGCCTACGACATTTCCGCCTCCATCGGAAATGCAGCCGCCGCAGCCGGGATTCGAACCCGCGCCCTGCGGGTCAGCAGCCGAGTACCTTAGCCACTAGACCACCGCGGCGGGGCGAAGTTTTTTTTTCAGAAGTGTGAAGTTTTAATTGGGAATAAAGCTGATTGATTGATTGATTGATTGATTGATTGATTGATATGTGGTGTTTAACGTCCCAAAACCACCATATGATTATGAGAGACGCCGTAGTGGAGGACTCCAGAAATAATTTCGACCACCCGGGGTTATAAACGTGCACCCAAATCTGAGCACACGGGCCTACAACATTCCCACCTCCATCGGAAATGCAGCCGCCGCAGCCGGGATTCGATCCCGCGACCTGCGGCTCAGCAGCCGAATGCCTTAGCCACTAGACCACTGCGGCGGGGCATTGGGAATTAAGCAGTCCTTGTGTTCGCGTATAACTGAATAGACATTGCTGCTGCTGCGGGCCGACGAAGACACCCCAAAGCAAATATTGTTTTCAGAATCCAGAGCAGTTTTTATGTTTCTGAATGAAGTTTCGAAATGTTTTTATGCCTAATGACACGATGGCTAAGAAGTAAAAAAAATTGTAATGTCTTCAAGCTTTTCACAGTAGATGCATAAAGGAGGTGGCACTGGACGTGATCTGTATCAATGAAAATTCTGTATTACATGACATAACTAGAGAAGCTGAAGTGTCAACGTCATCCAAACCGTGGCGCCCTTTCCGACGACAACTGCCGCAAATCACTCCTGGCCATGCATTCGAACATATCTGCCATAATCGCGTGTGCTACCGCTCATGTCGTTCACGATAGTACATTAGTTGGCCAAACAGAAACACAGAGCATTATGCTAGACGTGCAGATATGACAAAATGCGGCTAGCTCAGAATACCTTAATAAAGACCTACCCAAACAAAATATTTCTCTGCTTTTTTTCTCACCTTTAAAGTTTTCGCTTCCCTGGAAGATACACCATCAGCGCTGCACTCCGCTTCCTCGCACGTTCTCTATTCCACGGGCCACCGTTTTCCGGCATTTTGAGACTCCGTTGAGCAGCACGACTGACATAGGTTACGCTCACACGGCAGCACCAGAATTCTATGGGGAATCATGCGGCAGAGGCAGCCCAATGGAGAGCTGGGCACCTCGCAGACAAATCGCGTCGGCCGCCAGTTGACGCCTGGATTATGACATGTCCGCGAAATCGGTGCACCTGTTCACCTGATCAGGCATCGTGTGGTCTAGCGGACTGTTAGCAGGAGCCATGGGAGCGTATACAAGACAGTTTTGACACCGAACGCCCTTCTACCCCACACACGCCGCTCTGCACATGCGCGACGCGTCAGCTACGAGGCTATTTTACCATCGAGTTAACAGCGTCATCTGAGCACGCCTTCATCAACGCCACTCACTCGCGACGCGCCTCCTGCTACACAGCAACAAAAACAGGCCGCGAATGGACTGCGCATGCGCTTCGCTTTCTGCCGGCAGACTTAGGATTGCTGCTGCTAAAGCTCTAAACCACGCGTGGTTGTAGTCACGCCAATCGTGCACACCATATAGTGTCATATGTCTATTTTTTTGTTTATTCAAAATACTTTACAGACCCGACAGGGCATTGTGTAAGGGGAGCACAAAAGGAATAGATACACGAATTGGTACAAGTTCCATAAAAACAATAACATATACTAATTGTCAATTATTATACAAGTCCTAACAGGAATAACAATGAGAAAATATTAATATTAATTTTAATAGGAAGAGAACGGCAATGAAAATCAGATGAGTTACGTGTGAGATAATGACGTAAAACAAGCTTAAAAAAGCAAGCACAAATTGTGAGAAGACTTTCCATTATTCAAAAGAAAACATCGCTCAAGAATACACAACAGAACTGAATGGCATGTTGCTATTCAAACCATCAGTAACTACACGATGGTGCACATCATCAGATATGGCGTGTCTTCAGGTGGGTGAATCATGTGCTTGCGCGAGAACCCACTGCCTTTCATTTTCTTTTTATTTAGTGAGACATGTTCGCGCTGCGCGATTGAGGACATATAATACCGTACCTTTCTTTCGTTTTTGCCTGTACCGTAACACCTTTACCATCGTAAGTTTTTATAAACGCGTTGGAAAGAAATCGACTTCTCATCTTCAGCCACATTTGTGCGTTTGTGCGTTCCGCCCCGAAATGAAAGGGCATACAGAGCATTTGATTCATTTTATCTAGGTGGGTCCTAGGAACACCATCTGGACCGGCCCAAGCAGGTGAGCATTTGTCGCCGGTGGAAGGCGACCGATTCTTTATCGCCTGGCGAACGAAACATCGCAGCAACGAGATTTCTCCTTAGTACAGGTAGAATATAACTTCTCAAGGGAAACACGTTATAAGTTACACATTTCCTGGCGGCGTTGTTGAACGTAGAATACCTGGCGCCAGACACATGGTTGCAAGCCACAGTTCCTACCCATAATCGAAATCTAGTCTTCGGCATATAAAGAAAGTACACAATATCAGAGCCACGACACTGCTTGCAACCATTGTTTCCCTTAAATAGTCTATAGGGAACTCAGACGCTACAGTGTCTGAGTTCTCTATAGTCTCCAGCCAGCATGGGAGCAATGGGCAGTACACAAATTTGTCTAACTTTCGGTCTTTCGGCTCCGTCTACAGCTTCGCGTAATGTTTCGTCGTGAGACGACAAACAGCAAGTGTTCAGCAGTTTCAGCAGATACCCCGCGGGGAGCATAAAAGGTGTTACCCTTCGTGTACTGAGTCACACACCTACCGCAGCATAATGAACGCGTACGCCGTATTGTACGCCGTATTGAACCAAACGAACGATTCTGGCACGGGCGTTGGTCCGGGTCCTTTATCAAGGTAAATCATTTTAAAACTAAGCAAGCTTGATACGTATACCCAACCTTCTCGCAGTTAGCGCACTGTCACAAACAAAGCCTTTGTAGTACTTCTGCAAAGAAGATATTGCTAATGTAAAGGTAAACGTACTTGAAATTGTGATTTGGCCACAATTATCACTCTTTCATTCACGGTGTGTACAAACGGAGACGCCAACATTGAAGCACGTGACGCTCCGCACGTTTCATCAAGCGGCTTGAAACTTGGTGTGCACATTTGTGCAGGCCTTCAGAGTGAGACTCGCTCGCTGGATTTCATGCCAACCGGTTGTGCCCACGCGATCTCCAACGACAGCGCAGCTTTGGCTGACGGCTCACCCTACGCCATCTCCTGACGCCGACAGGAGCTCTCGCCGAGTGGGGCCCCGTCCTCGGACTCCTGCGACCGTGTCCATCTTTCCTATCTCCTCTTTACTTCCGTCGTTTTCTGTCGTTCGCTGTCCCTGTGCCGCGCTCTCTCCTTCCTCTCTCTCTCTACTTACCTTTTAATCCCTCCTTACCCCATCCCTCATGAGCTACTGTTGAGTTTGTCGCACTCTGGTGCAGACAGTTACGGGGCTCACATTTTTCTTCTTTTCTTTTAAGAATCACACAAGGTCTCTAGAGTGGAAAGAAATCAACTTCATTATGCTGCCAATTACTGCCCAGGATCACTTTGCTAAATGCATTACCATGTTCCACAATTGTTCGATGAGACGCATTCCAAAACCAACATAAAAAGTATTTTTTTTTCTTTGCTCGAAGTAACTAGAAAAAAAAACTGTGCAGTTATTTCGGGCCTGATGGCGTTTTTTTTTTTTAATGCAAGTACTGAGGCTGACTGGTGGCAGAATAATTAGATAATTTGTTACACACTCAAAAAACATTAACTACAAGATACTCACACGAAAGAACGTTTTCCTTCATTTTCCTACTTGTAAGGCAATACTGTGTGCCTCGGAATTATTCCACGCGAATTGGGCGTGTTTCCCACAGGGCATCACAATTCGTGACTGAAGGAGACACAACAGCCCATCACTAGAAACCGAACGCGGGCCTTCATGTACCCTCAGGCAAGCAAAACAAATACCCGATAAAACATAAAAAGAAATTCTTAAAGCTATGGAGCTGAACAGGAACGGTATTGTCAAGACTGTTTCATAAATATAAACAAATGTTTTTTTTTTTGAAAAATATGCACGACGTGCTTTATTCAGGAACCGAGACTTCAAACAGAACTTGACTAGCATGAAGTCACACGCACACAAATGGAACATAGGTTAAGCAGCGCAGTATTAATGCGCTCAATGGTGACAAACAGTGGATTCTGTGGTAATGTACTGTAACATGACTTTTCATATCGCTTGACATACAAAAAAAAAACAAGAAACACTCGCTAACTGAAACGAAACTAGGTACTCAATCGTCCGGCCGGGCATTCTTATTGACAACAAAGCTCGATTTCTAATTTTATTCCGGCTGTTGGGGTGCCTATCGGTGCCAGGGCAAAAAAGTTTATGTCGTATATGCGGCGACGATGCGTCCAAAAGTCTCGATCGTGCGTACAGTCCTGCAGCTCTTCGGAAGTCGACAGTGGAACAATGTTCCCCGTTGTCAGACTGTACGCCTTGACGGAGAAAACGGGGCGCAGCCATTGAGATCCTCCACGCATGCCATGAAGCGAAATATCCACACGAACGCGCCCGCGAAAAGTGAAGACTGTAAGTGTCAAGTAGGCATCCCTTGTGTGCAACACTGTGAGATCGGCCACTTTGTCTGCGTTGAACGACGGGAAAATGTAAAATTTATCGAGCGTCAGAACATATTTCACGGTTCCGGGCACTTCCCACCACGCAACCGCAGTTGGCAACAGCCCGTCAAACTCTAAATGACATTCAGCCTCCTCACAGATATAAGTAATGACATGCCGAGGATAATCTTGTGAAGTTGTTTTGCGCATGGCTTTGAGAACTTCTTGTGGCAAGTCCACAAGGGGCTTCGAGTTTTCTTCTAAGCAGGACTGGGACGTCGATGACGCGCCTGCCTCTTCAGTAGCAGTCTGCTTAGAAGTTTCCTTTTTCTGCGAGGCCGAGGGACTCGGTGCAGCGACTTGAGCGAAACCCGACGTCGCAGTTGCCGCGATAGCTTGAGGGATTGCGGCCGACCTGGATTCCAGGTTCCTGATCCGCTCAGTCAGCTCATTCACCTGACTCTGCATTGCAGGTAGCAGCGGCTCCTGATTGGCGCCCCTCAGCAGCGTCTTCATTTCTACGAGCACACCCATCACATCTCGGATGGTGAAGGCTTGAGAGTCCGATGAGGTGTTCTTCGGGCAAGCCAGGGAAACAGCTGCACTGCATCCGGCTGAGTAGTGCGCTGGCAGTTCGCTGTGCAGGACTTGGTCGTCGCATCGGAAACACTCCACGGTGTGGAATGTGCATTCGTTTTCATAGTGTCGCAGCATGACCTCCATGGCTCCCTCAAATTTGCATCCATGGCTTTCATTCCAGCAGTGAACCTTCAATGCAAAAGGTAGAAAAACAACATTTAGCAGATCCGCGTCACAAACATTTCCGCGTCACAAAAACAGATCCGCGTCACAAAAACAAACGTTTAGCAGATCCGCGTCATCTCTTCACAACCTAGACATGCACTGCACAGCATATTTTCCGCCATATTTGCATTACACTCCACGGGAATGAAATTTTATCACTTCGACAACTGTTTCTATTATGGATTCATTAAAAAGGACAAGTGCTGCTGAGCGCGAATTCGATAAGAAAACTGGCTCAGATATTCCTTTAAAAATTGCTCAGAATCATCACAAAAGAAGTTGATAGCATTGCTAAAGAAGTTTTTTAATGACCTCGCTGTTATTTACCGCCTCATTTACAAAAACACAGCTAAGATACACTCGAGTAAAATGTCGGGGCTACCGATGACATTTTATCACAGCAGTTACAAAACCTTTCATAATATGTAGCGGCGGATCACCGGTGTCACATTAAATAATACTTCCCTTTTCTGCGAGCTTTTCTACAGTTATGTGCAACTTCTTTTTCTTTTTTTTTCGCTGCTCATCCAGTCACGGGCGTCGGCAGAGGGATGCAGAAGGGGGCATTCTCGTGCTTGCGAGGCTGTATTTTTCTTGTTGTTGTTGTCGTTGTTGTTTGTAGGGTTTAACGTCCCAAAACCACCATATGATTATGAGAGACGCCGTAGTGGAGGGCTCCGGAAATTTTGACCACCTGGGGTTCCTTAACGTGCGCCCAAATTTGAGTACACGGGCCTACAACATTTCCGCCTCCATCGGAAATGCAGCCGCCACAGCCGGGATTTGATCCCGCGACCTGCGGGTCAGCAGCCGAGTACCTTAGCCACTAGACCACCGTGGCGGGGCGGCTGTATTTTTTTTTTTTTGCAGCACGTTGTAGGGTGCTGAGACGCAGATGGGGTGCTCAAAGGGTGTGCTTAGGGTGTCGGTACCCTTTTTGACACCCTTATGGGTCACCCTTATGGGCGACCATAAGGTTTTTTTTTTCGTATTGTACCAAACCAGAGTACATTTTCAACGATGGCGCTGTTTTCACTCATTGAACTGTAACCCAGCACACGATTTCATTGCTTATATAAGCTTTGTGCAGCGCATTTTAGGCTCTTATAAATATACTATGTTGTAACACTTTAACTGCTGTCTCGCCACTCTTCTATATACAATCACCGGCCCTCGAGCCAATAACGACTTTATATCATCACCATAAACGTCATCAAGCAAGTTTTCAAAGACAGAGCAACACAAATGCTTTAAACTGTGCCGGCAAACGGCCACTACACAGGCGTCACGTAATGCCAGCAGTCACGGTAACACTAGTAACATTCGGTGACGGGTGAATACAATCGCAAGTTTTGTGACACCCTAATTATCGTGGGGCCCGTCGGCCACTTGGTTTGCCGCACATAACCCAGGCCCTCAAGAAAGTGTGCATCCGCTTAGCGACTCTTATATCCTTACGGGCCACGGCCACTGGATGACTACGCACCGCGTCCCCGTGCGGTGCGTATACACACTAAACCAATTCTGACTCATAAGGGTGTCAAAAATGGTGTCGACACCCTAATCACACCCTTTGAGCACCCTATCTGCGTCTCAGCACCCTACAAGCGGAATCTAACGGTTGAACACATCAAAAGGGTGGAATCTAGGGTGCAAAAAAGGTGCAACAACTAATGGGTGCTGATGAGCACCCATTAGGGTGCACAGCCACCGACAAAACTTTGTGAGTAACGTGGTCAGTAACGTGGCCACTGGACGGCTACGCACCGTGTACCCGTGCGGTGCGTGTAGTCATGGAGCGGCCGTGCCATGACACTGCCCATAACGATTCTGAAAGGCAACGAAAGCGCTGTGGCGTTTTCTCAAAGGCACCGTCCTGTTTCATCGTTTGTGACGTGAAACTGTTACGCATCGGCCCAGTCAGCGACTTTTTTCTCCTCCTCTACAACTTTCCTTCCCCCATCTCGCCTTCCCCAGTGCAAGGTAGCCTACCGGGGCTCAGCCCTGGTTAACCTCCCCGCCTTTTTCATTACTTTTCTCTCTCTCTTTCTCTATCTCTTACGGACGCGTAGCGGGTACTTCATCAATTCAAATAAATAATCACGGCATAGCGGTAACTTTGCAGCGTTACTTGCATCAGGCATTAGGATATTTTGAACCGGGCAGTGTCACTCGTACACAGGTGCTCCAAAAGTAAAGCGGTGCACGCGGGCTGTGGCCAAGCTACGCAAAAGTGAAACCCAGCGTGCTCCATAACAAAATTGGTTCTTCATTTTTATGTGGAAATGACGGCAGTGACTTCTGCCCCATTTTCGTATCTAAATAAATACTCACTTCCTAAAGGAGCGCGCTGGCGTTCACTTTTGTGCAGCTTAATTGGCTGCAGCTCACGTGCTCCGTTTTAGTTTCGAAACACCTGTACACGCGTCGCGCTCCTCTCGACATGGTCTAAGGCAAACTCTAAATTGCGAGAACAGTTCAATTCATGCTGTCCGAAAGTAAATTAATCAGGACATCAAGAACGCCGCCGCATTTGAGATTCATTTATCGCGCAACTTTTCCAAACGACATCACGGTGTTTTTTTTTTTTTTTTTGCTCTGGTTTTTATAGATCAGATCTCTTTTCAGCAGCAGCTCCATATTCAAAATCGAAAGGTGCGTAAGCTGTCGCACACAATGGTTCATTGTCGAAGTAAGTATACGACAACGAACGCGATAACGTAGCCACGAGCGAAACGTGGCGAAAACGGGATGCTCAGTGAGTGCATTCGACCCGCCGGTCAGGCAGACTGGCAACAAATTCATTAGTGAAACCGACACGCGCACCATCTGTTGTTAACTACAGCAAGCATATGATTTTCAACGCTTCAGACGCTGCCCTCAGTCCATGCGAGCCGAGACCACGCGTCGGAGCGTTCGAGATGAAGGTGCTGATGGCTGGACGTCTAACGACCAAGTTAGTACGCCCCATTTCGTCTCAGTGATTGCACCAGAAGCAGCTCAAGGCTGAAAGATTTTCGTCTCGCTGTTCCCGTGTATTGTTATTTGATACCTCGACTCAGATGTATAGTAAAAACAAACTTCGAGATAAATGATGGCTGTAAAGCAATAATTACACGAGCTCGCGTACACGCTACCACCAGTTTCACAAAGCTGTTCACGTCAATATTAAAAAAAAACATTTTGCTTACAAATGACTGCAATTGTTTTCTCACCTTCAAGGCGTTCACTGCTCTCACAGGCAAATCACAGGTAGAACATTCCGCTTCTTTGAACGGCTCTCGACCCAAGGGACACCGTCCACCGCTTCCGTGGGAGCTGGCTGCGAGGCACGACTGGCATAGGAGGTGGCCGCAGGGAAGCGCCAGCACCGTCTTGGGAATCATGCGGCAGAGGCAACACACACGCAGACTGGGCACCTCGTCGACAAAGCGGGTCGGTCGCCAGTTGACGCCTGCGACGGCATGGTCGCGGAAACGGTGCACTCGTCGAAGGTCGGACATGGCGGTGCGATCGTAGAGAAATGTAACGTCCTCAAGAGTGGCCACTCACTCTAGTGGCGGGGCAAGCGGCACAAACGAGCGCTCAAGACAGCGCGCGCCTCCGATATCTGACGGCTGTGCGGGCTGTGTGAACGCCAGGCGCCGATCTGACGCGACAGGAGCCGACGCAACCACCGAGACGCAACGAAGAAACAAGCTTTTCTTTCAGTGGGCGCCGCACGCGTTCTTCTTCTCCCCCTCAAGAATGCTGCCGAACGAAATCTAGAATCATGCAGAACCAAGCGTGACACGGAAAGGATGATGCAACGCCAAATCACGCCGCGACGTGTGGAAACTACGAGAAAAAGGAGCAACCCTGGACAGACAGCGCCATCTCTGGCAGAACTCAAAATACAAGTCGAGCGTTTCACGGCCTCCGAGATTTGAAGCGAGTGGCGAGTCGCGGGCGCGCGGCAAAAAGTGAAACTCGCCGCGCGCCCGCCATCTCGGAGGCCGTGAGCGTTTCTGCTTGTGTCCGCCGCGCTTCCGCCCGTTTCCGAGCACGTGCAGAGCTCTCACGCTGCACTTGCCTATCTCCTCGCTGTCTACCGCTACAGAAAGATCTCCCAGCTAGACAGCCACTTCAAAAAGCGAAGATAATCATAGGAGAAAAGATCGTTAATCACGTTCGCGATGTGGAGCAAATTATGGACGACAACGACCCGTTAGACGCTTAAGCCAATGGTGATCGTCGAAAGCTGAGCTGAACAGCAGTGCCTTCCATTGTTTCTCTCTTTTGTTCATTCTGGGGTGTTCTTCATTGTGAAGTGTACACGTCCACGTAATGTGAAAGAGTAGTAGTAAACAACTTTATTATAATGTGAAACATGGTTGGTGTGGTCGCGCACCCCATGTGAGTAGGGAACGAAACCGTTCGCCGAAACGCGGGCGCTCACACAGCAAGCAACTTTACGGCTCCCGAGTGCGCCAGTCTTTCCCTACTCTGAGGCTGCTCCGTAATTATGGATGTAATGGATTATGAATTGGGTACTCGACCAAAATAGCTGATATTTTGCAAGGTTGTTTGTCAGTGCACAAAGATTAAACCTCACAACACGGATTCTGATAAAAAAAGTGTGCGTCATAGCTACTTGATGTTTCCCTTTGAAGCGATGTGATATTCCCAGACTTAAGGTGAGAAGGCGTTCAAACGTCCTGTTTAATAGAGTAACTGTATATGCTACTTTTAGGGAGCATATACAGTTACTATGTTGTCTAAAACGAGCAACACAAACGTGCGGATGTATAGGGTGAAAGTCGTATACCTCAAACATAGCTTCGCGAAGTGAAAAAGCCACTTATCGCGGAAGAAGAAGACAGGAGGCGGGTTATTTTCAACAAATATTCTATTGCATTGTACCACCAAGTTTACAGGTGTAGCCCCCTCAAGCAAAGAAAGGCCGAAAAACCAAACATAAAAATTACCAAGGAGGAGGAGGAAGCAACAAAAAGGGAGAAGGCAGGGAGGTTAACCAGAAAAACATCCGGTTGGCTACCCTACACTGGGGGATAAAGGAAGGGGACAAGAAAGACGAGAAAGAGGGAAGAGAGGGAAGAAAGGGGGTGGGGGAGAGACTGACAGTAATTTCACTGCAGCGTGTAGAACTCTACCGCATGTCAGAGGCGTTCACACAAGCCTGTCTTTCTCAGGAAACGCAAAGATCCAAAAAGACATACTAACACAAGGCAGCGTTCTTTCGTGCTAAGCAGTGTCTAGAGAGTACGTGCAGCAACTGTCAGAAGCTTTCTTTTTTTTTCTGGATACACCTCTACTGGTCACCACGCTATAAAATTTTAGTAGAGATCAACGCTTCTCCTTTCGTGATTCCAGAAATCCTTGTATATCACCAACTAGCTCGATCTAAGTCCTTACCTGAAACACGCGGAGTGCTCAAGGTCACGTCAATGGGTAAGCAATGTTGGCTTGAGCACTTTTGTGGGAAGGAGAGCAGCGGCTGCGGTTTAAGCTGACATTGTTGTTGACTTGTAATCGAGTGGAGGAGACTATATAGATCTTCTAAGCAGAGATTGTTCTTTGTTTTGTTTTGTTCTCATTTTCACGGAGGTTCACTGCTGGAAGGAAGTGCATGGGTGCCAGTTTGAGGGCACCATGGAAGACATGCTGCGACACTACGAGAAGGAATGCACATTCGAAGCTGTGGAGTGTATACGCGTTCCGACGAAGTGGTCTTGCACAAGGAACTTTCAAAGCACTACACGACCCAATGTACTTGCCGTGTTCCTTCAGCGCACACTTGGGACACAACACCGGAATCAACAGCAGCGACACTTGGCACAGTGAATAGGTCGTTAAAATCACCAGTTCTAACACTTGATGATAGTATCGAATCTCTGTAAGACATGATGGCGATGCTCAGAGATGCGAGCAACGACGAGCAGTCGTCCGCCATGGAAAGGAAAACGAATGAGCTCGCCGATCAACACCAGCAATCCTCGTCCACTGTGGCAGCTCACGGTGTCGGATCATCTCCTTCGAACGCGAACGGAGACGTGACTGAAGGCGCACGTTATTGCAGGAACCTGAATCTCGGCGAGATGACACGGGGGAAGCCAGCGTGTGTGCCTATATATATATATATATATATATATATATATATATATATATATATATATATATATATATATATCATAAAATTAGGCCGCGCTGTAATTGATTGATTTGTGGGGTTTAACGTCCCAAAACCACTATATGATTATGAGAGACGCCGTAGTGGAGGGCTCCGGAAATTTTGACCACCTGGGGTTCTTTAACGTGCACCCAAATCTTAGTACACGGGCCTACAACATTTCCGCCTCCATCGGAAATGCAGCTGCCGCAGCCGGGAATCGAACCCGCGACCTGCGGGTCAGCAGCCGAGTACCTTAGCCACTAGACCACTGCGGCGGGGCAAATTAGGCCGCGCTGTAAATGAGAACAGTTGGCCTTGAGATATGTATAATGACGGTGAGGTGCAATCAACGGAAGGAATCCCTGAAATATTACGACACATGCTGTTGGCGCCCTTTTCCTTCTGCAGAACGCTGTCGCTGGCAACAGAAAAGGGGCCAATTACGTGGTTACCCCAGTAATTCGTTTGACGGCCCCACTTTCTTTTACTGATTGGAGCAAGGTCACGTGCTAATTTTCACATTTAATGGGCCTTCTTTATTAGCAGGCCAAAAATTAGCATGCCATTAGTACGTTTACGAAAATGGCACAGACATGTTTCAACATGTGCACAACTGCCTCATTCACATCGCGAAAGTTGGCGCATATTTTGTAAAATTATATCTATGTATTAGTAAAGGGCACTGTAGCAAATGCAAGGGAAGGTAGTTCATAGTTATTTTAGAAAATCAAATGAAGAGAAGCGAAGACTCACTGCACATACTTTATTTGATCCCGGAACTTCAATAACAATTCTGGCCTCCAGATGTTAAACTCAATTGTAAGAAACAAGAAGCTAAACGGTGAAATCTAGCTAATGACTAAAGACCTGATGCCTTTATCTTCACGTTCAACTGTGGCATGAACTCTCACACAAGCAAATATTCAAACGGGAAACGGGAGGCACGACCCGCGAAGCGCCATTCTTGCAAGTTCCCGAGTCTTGCGATGCCTGCAGGTTTCACGCGAAGTTGCGGGACATGTCGATATCGAACAACATCTTTCCGTCCGTCAAGTAACAACTTCTTGTGTCGGAGGTTGCAGCAGCACGGAATTCGTAATGGCAATGTGCGCGAGTCTCTTTAACTTGCCTACAGACACCCTGATGTTCGTAGCAGGTCATCAGACGCATGCGCGCAATGTCCCAGCAGTATACTTTGACGTAGAAAAAAGGTACCGCACACGAGTTTCCGATAGACCCGTCAAACTTAATACGTACGCAAATATACTCATTTCAATTACAGCCTTCAACTGTGAAGTAGGCATCACTGGTGTGCAACACTGCGATCTGTGCAACCATCGAGTGGGCCTCACATTGCATGTAGCCAAGGTTTATGAATCTTAGGCGATATTTTATGTTTCCAAGCATTTCCTTCCACGTGCGCGTCGTTGGCAGGGATGTTATTAGGCTTAAACGACCATAACCCGTCGAAGGATAATAAAGCTCAATGAAACGCCGCGGAAAGTCTTGGGACGAAGTTTTCTGCATGCCTTGCAGAACGTCTCGCGGCAAACCGGCAAAGTGGTCCTCCCGCTGTGACGTGGCCGATGACGTACTCGCCGCGACTTGAGCCACTCGCGACCTTACAGATTCCCCGACCTCGTGAGTGATCTCGGCGAGCGTGGATTCCTGTTTTCTGACTTGTTCCACGAGTCCGTTCACTTGACTCTGAATCGCAGCCAGCAGCTCGCCGTTGTTGGAGTCATTCAAGAGCGACTTTATTTCCTCAAAGGCAGGAGTGACGTCCCCAAGGGTGAGGGCTCTAGATTCCGATGGCGTCTTCTCGGGCCGGGTTGTAGAGCCGGCGACACTGCATCCGGCCTCGTAGTGCTCGGCCAGTTCTTTCTGCAGGACTGCCTTGCCGCATCGCAAACATTCCACTGAGTGGGAAATGCATTCTGTCTCGTAGTGTCGTAGCATGTCTTCCATGGTTCCCTCGTACTCGCATCCGTGAGTTTCGTTCCGGCAGTAAACATTGAGAATAAAGTTTTAAAAATGAAGAAGCAGAACCTCCTATGCAGATATGCGCAATCTATTATTAACCTTACTATCGACATAGAACACGTGTGGCTGTCTTAATAATAATAATAATAATAATAATAATAATAATAATAATAATAATAATAATAATTGTTGGACTTTCACGTCTCATTACCACATGATGATTATGAGAGACGCCGTAAAGGAGGAGTCCGGAAATTTCGACCACCTGGGGTTCTTTAACGTGTACCTCAATCTAAGAAGGCGGAGCTCAAGCGTTTCCGTCCCCATCGAAATCGCGAGTACCGCCGCCTGGATTTGAGTGACTGTACCCTGAAAAATCAAGAGCAGATGGCGCAATTCGTTGACTCGGCTTCGAAGTATAGTTTGCTGAAGAGGTTCGGGACAATCAACCCTATCGAAATATGAAAGTTTTATCGTGGTCCTTACCACTATTTCATGAATCAGAAGAAAGTCATCTT